CATTTTTAGAAATGGTAAACATGAATGTTTTAGGAAGACGAGCTGAGATTTTTATCTAAGAGGTGTGCTACATAAGCCAACAACAGAAATGTGCTTTCAAACCAGCCCCACCGCTGGGGTAGTTGGGAATAAAGACACAAGGCTGTTGCATGACAAGACAGGAACTCATGTGGTCCAATCACAGAAATGTGCTCTAATCCACTTCAAAATAACGTGAACTTGAAACCTCATTTCTCATGTGCAATAACTACTAAAACACTATCAGCAAAGTAAATATATAGAGTCTATAAAAACTACTTCCTGGAAGAAATGTGAAGAACACATGAAAGAAATGTTGTTAGCATGAAAGTTGTGTCATCTTTGAATAAGAAAATGCAATGTTACAAAGATATTCACTATCTGTAATTAATTTATAAATGTGATGTTATATTGCCAATAAAAATACCAATGTCAAAAAAAAATTAACGTGAACTGAATTTCTCACACATACATAGATCCTGGGAGTGGATTTTTCAAAAATCCTTTTTGTTTTGTTTTTCTGTCTCCCATTCTTTTCTGTTGAATTGTGGTGCTGGCAAAGAATATTGAAATCCCCAGGGCCGCCCAAAGCATCAACCAATGTGTCTTGGACGAAGGACAGCGAGCATGCTCCACAGAAGCCAGGATGACGAGACGTTGTGTCGTGGACTTTGGACAGATTATCAGGAGAGACGGTGCCCCCGAGAAGGACCTCACGCTTGGTCAAGTCGAGGGGTGGTGGAGAAGAGGAAGATGGTTAACACAGCAGCCACAACGCCGGCCTCCAACATAAGGACGCCGGTGAGGGCGGCACTGGACCAGCCGGTGTTTCGTTCTGTTGGGTGTCGGGTCCCTGTGACTCGGAACTGACTTGTCAGCACCCCCAACTCTCTCCGAAGAGCTGGCTCTTGGCCATACCTTTATACTTTGGACCCCCTGTCTTCTTTATCCCTCATGTCTCATGTATCAGACCCCCAGAACCAAGTGCAGACAGAGCCACCCCCCACTCCACCCCGCGGAGTCAGGAGAAGTGGGAGGGACTGCCAGAGTACACTCAGGGTAGTGATACCTGCTGCACGGAGCAGAAAGTACCAAGACACCGCTGGATCGCGTACCGTTGGTGTTTTCTAGCATGGGGAAAGTGACTTCACAGTTGTCCGCCTCTGCTTCTTAGAGGACCGGTTAGAATAATCGAAGGTGAGATGGCCAAGGTGAGGGTTGGTTACATGGGTGACCCAGAACAGACCCTGCTATTTGGCAAACAGTGGTTTCCACATGGCTCTCATCAGCACCATCACCATGACCTCATCACCTCAGAGCCAGGTGTTCTGCTCTGTCAATTTGGAGTGGGAGTGTGATGGGAGGAGTGAGAAATCAGGCCAAATGGTAAATTCCTCATGAAACCCACCTTTAAGTAATCCCTGCATTAAACCCTTCCCCTTTCCCTGCCCATCCTCTCTTCTGCCAAACCCAAGCTTGCCATCTCTGTGCCACTTCCTGTCCCGAGAAGCATGGTCATCATTTCCCCAGCGCTCATTCTGGGTGATGACCCCCTGTGCCCTGTTGGCAATGCCATCCATGTCTCATCTTCTAAACTACTGAGTCAGCTGGACATTCTCTCTGGTGACAGAGTGGTTCCCTGTGGGAGATTCCACAGTTTTGATACCATTCAGAAGGAGATGTCTTTCATGGACTCCACTCTACCACTTGACATCAGCCGCTTGCTAGAAAACAAAAACTGTTTCCCTTCTAAGGCTTATGGGTCTTTGAGCTCCCGGGTGGGGCCAGTGCCACTTATCCAGCAGTTCTTCCTCCTAAATCAGTATTCTTTCTTTTTTAATCAAAGCAAACAAGATTGATGACAATATTAAGATGTTGCTTCATTGTGAAAGTAATTTGAAAAGTACACTCCCCCATAGAGCATCACTTTGCTTTTTCTCTTTCCCAACAAAGTTGATTAGCAAATAAATACACACACACACACACACACACACACACACACAGAGGTGAAGGCATGAGATCAGAGAATTTTGAGGAAAAGGGATTTTCATTCATTTTTCCCAATGAAGATACTGAGCTCAGTGCACAGGGGAATCACTTAGGGTTACTGAAGGCCACCCAACAGCAGCGATGATGTAATAGAACCAAACCTGGGCGGGCCTCGCATAGGCCTTCTTTAGATGTGCCTAAGAACACAAAGCAAAGCGCCTCCGCGGTGACAAGGGAGTCAGTCCTTCAGTGATGTTTTATAGCCAAAAAAAAACAAAAACCAACCCAACCCAATTAAGTTACTATAACAATATCACTCTATTGTTTCCGTCCCTGTACAAAGGGGATGCCTCAAAAAGCTTACTGTCCGTCCTGGAGTATGTGATTTTGAAGCTATAAAGAATTACACTCCACAGCTATTGAGGCAACTGAAAGATCTTGACATATGACTCCTTTCCGGTAGCCATGTATGGCACTTAGCATCTCTGGTTGCTTGTCAGGGTGAGTGTGAGATAATTGTTTGAGAACCGAGGACTGCTTACTCCAAAGGAGGGGCAAGGGTGGGGACTCAGGATAATTACAGAGCTGACAACCACCTCAGCTTTGCCATGGGAAATCTAATGCAAGGCATTGTTAGACTTCAGACAGCTTCTCAGGCAAATGTCTCCTGGCCCTCCTGATTCCGTGGAATGTTCTTTCTCTGTTTATGAGATTGGAGTCTCTGGATAGTGAGGCAATTAACTCTGTTGGCTGCTAAACAAAAAGAGGTGGCTCCAGAGGCAGCGCACAAGAGAGGGTTGATGATCCACTTCTGAAGAAAAACAGGCCCCAACTATTAGCAAGCCCGGAGAGCAGATTTCTACGGTGGGACCACGTAGACAGCGCCTGGTGGTTTAGTCTGGGGACCTAAACAACAGCACACAGCGGATCTATATGCCAGTCTGTACACGAGGACCACTGTGCTCTTTACAAGGCTTAAAGAAGCTGAACACTCGGTCAGATTCACATGCCCAGTAGGGCTTCAGCACAAATATTTCAGGTTGAAGTTCCTTCTGCGATGGATGCTCATTGGTCCTGGGACATTGTGTCGTTTTTCCTAAGTTTGCATCATGGGAATATAGTGTGCTGTTGAATAGGCAGAGGAAACAACGTTAGAGAGATAGGTAGCAAACCAAACCTGCATGGTTCAGAGAGACTTGTGTTCTGAGAATCAAGTTCAAGCGTAATGGGAGACCCAACATCTTAATCTCTGGATATCCATTACTTTTTAAGGATGGCATGTTTATCATTCATAATTATCACTTCAACTCCTCTCCCTGTCATAGAATTTGTTTTTAAAATCTGGTGTAAATAATCATGCAGACTATATGTCTCTGAATCTACGGCAGCATCCACATCTACAATGGCATGGAAAAAAATTCACTGCTGCGGACAGCTGGCTAACCGAAGCAATTCCAAGGGGAACTAGCGCTGTCATCTCATCATGCATGCAGTGCTTCTTTACATTTGTCTGTCGGTACTGCAGATCATCGTCATAGAGTCAACTCCAGTGCATGGAGACTTCGTGTGCACCGGGAAAGAGTTGTACTGCACAGGGTTCCCAAAAACAGATTTTCCATAAGTACAGTAGCAGGCCTTTCTACCAAGGTACCTCTTGGAGGGCTTGAATTTCCTACCCTGAACACGCAGCAATTTATACCACCTGGGGACATTCACATCTTTACACCGTAGCACAACTAACATGAGACCAAGGGTGCAAAAAGACTATGAAGTGGGAAGGGGAGCTTGGGAAGAGAGGAGACGACTACACCCACCAGCTGACTGGAAGAGGGTCTCACCACAAGAACAAGGTTGTGCAGTGGCACCTGAGACAGGGAAGAGCCTTCAGGTCACAGCACAAATGTTCCCCAGGGTATTGGGACCACCCCCAAAACCCTCCGCGTCCAGTCCATTTGCTTTTTGTCACAGGACGGAACGGATAGTTCTTGCAATCTGTGCCAGGGGCTTTGCTCATCGAGGAAGACGTTCTGGGAGCAGACAGAGAATGTTCTCGCAACAATCGTTATAGGACACTTCCAATGAGCAAGACTCTCAGAACTGAGAAAAAGAAACTTTTCATTTTATTCAGAGTTCATGCGACCCGCTCAGAGCATATTTTTAAAAATCCTCTTCCCCAGATTTAATAACAAA